CATTAATAGAAGCAAAGGCAATTACAAATCACAACAACATAGCTATTTCTTGTTAAGGGTTGCACGCTGTGTTTGAAAACCTATTTCCATTCTCTCATACAGAGAAGCCATAGAGATGGGATATATGACTAGATTCCATATACAACTGCAAACCTTGAAAACTTAAACTCTGAACTAGTTCCAGTAAGCACAATTAAACTTAATTAAATTTAAAAATATATATATAAACACATTTTAAGCACAACATAGGAAAGCATATGTGCCATGGCCATGTCAAACCCCAGCAGTAGTGATTAAATAGGCATTTTGCAACCTGTGCCCCAGAAAGCCATTCTTACAGGATAGCAAAGAGCAGGGAGATCAAATGGTATCAACTCCACCTCTTTCCTCCTGGCTATTTCTTTATTTGCGCAGATTGATCACTGCCATCATAGCCGTGTACAGACTTTTCCAGGCAGTTAGCAGTAAGGAGAAATAAAGAGTTCCCAGCTACATCTAATAACACCCACTGCTACTTAAAAACAGCAAAGTAGATATGAATTTTCTCAATAATAATAGTGGAATACAGATAGATAGGTACACATAAATATGAGACTTCCCCCCCCACCACCACCACCTCTCTTTAGTTTTAATAAATGCTCTCCATGCAACAGGAATGTCCAGGAATGAAAGATCAGGGGGTCTACAACTTGATCAGGATCAAGTTGTGATTCAGACCATGAAAATTATCAAGAAAACTCCTGGATTAACTTGCATCCATTGCACATGTACAGCAGGTGTTTTTAAACATCTGTAAACACTACAGAATGACTAACGAAGAGGCATGGGTCCCAGACCCTGGCACAAAGGGTCTAAGCATTCAAGAACAAGAGCAGTCATCTTCCAAAGACCAACAGTACTCCCAACCAGCGCTACTGGTTCTCACTGTATTCCCCACAAGTGATACCTCAATAGGAAAAGTGATAAATGCAAATTTCAATAAAATAACGAGAGAAGAGCTGCTTTGGTATTTTCTTCCCCCCCTTCCCCCCCCCCTTTTTTTTTTTAATACTAAAGAGTACGTACCAACTATGCTGCAATCACAAACAGCATAAGGAAGCAGTTATTTAGCATACTTTCAGGGAGTTGGAGATGCCTTGTCAGAAGAAGATACTGAGTAATGGACAATTCTTCTTCATTTTACTACCAGGACAGCAATTTCAACTAGGAAAACATTCAGGAATTTATTCATAAAACTACAACCATGAAACTAAGTACCATAACTGGAGTCTCCATTTGCCTGCTCACCAGCCGAAGGGACAGCCCAGCACTCAGGGCTGCAGCTCATGATGTAAGGGGTTGTTCTGTTTACAGCCCACCTAACAAAGCTTGGTTTCTGATGGGTTTGCTCCTACAAAGCCCAGTGGCCACTTCACATTAATTACGTCAGTTGCCTCCATGTTTTACAACGCGTTCCTAAATCCTCCACTTGAACAAACTCTCCGTTTGCCCATAAATTCCTTTCCAAGTACTCACGCTTACCCTCACGGCTTTGTTAACTCAGCTCTTTCTTGTGCCCTTCGGCCCACCTCCACCTAGCAGCAGCTCCGTCCCCCATGGCCCACCTACCTGGGCACAGCGCGGAGCACAGGGCAGCATATGCCGGAGCGGTTTGAAGTTGTGCACATGCTGGCCGGCCAGCTGGAAACCACCTTCGCTTCCAGGCGCAGCGCATGCAATGTTGTGACCTCCTTCCCTGTTTTTTTGTTTTTTTTTTTGGTGGAAAAGGGCACTCGCTTCTCAGATGTCAGCTTTCACAGGCTGGGGTGAAGGTAATCTTTTTATCAGACCACTCCATGCTCTTTAATTGGTTGAAACCAACAGAGGGGTTCACACTTATTAAGAATGAAAAGACACCGAGATGGTGTAAATGATGCTTCCTTGTGAAGCCAGGAATAAAAAAGGTAATTCAGCTCTAGTTGCTTTGCAGCTATCTTGAAAATGCCCACTGATACTCTCCTCCTCCTCCCTTCCTGCAGAGGAGGGCATTGTCTGTACTTTTGCAAAGGCCACCCAGCTCAGAGGGACCAGGAATACGCAAAATTGATATAAAAAAAATCAGTTCCAACATCTTTATGCTGCGCCCTGTGGGCAGCAATGCAACTGTCAAGGAGAATTACGATTTCAGCCCAGTGATGAGTAACAGAAGGGTCTGGAGCTATTCCTAGGGACGACCACCTGAAAGGAAAGCCACGAAGGCTAGGAGCAGCGCTACCCGGCTCTGGTGGTACGCGTGGAACTGGGCCTGACAGAAAAAGACCACTGTTCTTCACTGCGGGCAGGGGAAGTGGGTATGGCTACCAGCAAGTATCCAACTCATGAGAGGTTCACGGTAAGCACTACTGCAGGACAGCCTAACCACCAGAAGCTACCTGTTGTTCACAGAAACCTTATCGCTTCTCCCTTTGTGATTTATGCCTGTTTGCGCCTTGGGGACAGAGAACAGCTGAGAGCAAAACCAAACACTGCTCTCAGTGGGAGCAGCGATCCTGCAGCAGCTCAGGACTGCCTGGGACTCATTAGACCCAGGCAGCATCTCCAAAACCCTCACAGGCTTCCGGCACCCCAAGTGGCCAGCAAGCCCCCGCAGCATAGCATGGCAAGGAACCCGGCCACACCAGTGCTGCACTGCACCCAGGCACTGCACCCAGGCTCCATGCTCACAGGTAGCTGGGGTCTGTCCCCAGGGCGCTCCGCCACGCGCGTGGGCACACCTGAGTCATCCTGCCCGGGAGCCCGTCACAGCGTGACAGCTCTTCCTTCAGCGACCAGGGGTTGTAAGGAATGGGAATTTGAGGAAAAAAAACCCTTGGATACCAAAGTTAGGAAGACAAGGGCATGTTTACAGCAGGCAGCATGCGTTGCCTGATTAACATAAAGGAGCCAAGCCCTGGGCGCCTGGCTTGAGCGCCCTTTCTCTCTTTATGGCAGCTCTGCTCGTGGAGTTTACAAATTACGGGTCTGACTTGTAAATGTTAGTACACATCTCCCCAAACGTTACTCAGTGTTTCCATAACTGCGTGAAGCTCGTAGGGAATACTCTCCTGCAAGAATAACACCCAAAGCGGGCTCTAAAAATAATGTATTCTAGACTATTCTCACGGAGAGCCGAGGGGCGAAAACACACGGCATTTCACGCTGCCTGCGTTACGGCTAGGATAGAGGAAGAAACAACAGCACCATATAGTAAAATTAAAATAATAATAAAAAAAATCAGCAGTGGCATTTCAAGTGTCACATGCGCTCTAACACAAAGCTCGGAGCCCGGGGCGGAGGAATGCGGGGATTCCTGGGCATCCTGCAGACCCCGTGCGCCAGGCAGGGCTGAGCCCCGAGCAGGGCACCGCGGCACTGCCCCCTGCAGCCGCGGGGCTCCGCAGGGCAGCACTGCCGAGCCGAGCCGAGCCGAGCCGAGCCGTGCTGTGCCGAGCCGAGCTGAGCCTCCCCGGCCGTGCCATTTGGAGCCGCGCTCTCCGCCGGCCCCGCCGCCCCGGGAGCGGGCCCCGTCCGGCTCCACCCGCCGGCCCCCAGGCCCCGCGTCCCCGGGCGTGTCCCCGCGCCGCCCCGGCCCGTCCCGAGCCGTCCCCTCCTGCCGCAGGCCCGGCCGCTTACCGCCAGCTCGGCGCTGCGCGAGTCCCGCTGCGACACGGCGCGGATGACCCCTGCCCGCCAGCGCCCGCTCTCCGCCGGCTCCTCGCCGCCGCCGCCGAGGCAGAGGAACCGCTTCCCCACCAGCTCCGGCCGCGTCTCCACCGCCATGGCCGCCGCCGCCGCCGCCGCCGCGCAGGCACCGCACCAGCCGCCGCGCCGCGCCGAGCCCGCTCCCCTACGGGCCGCCCATGGCGGGGGCAGGCGCGGAGCGGAGCGGAGCGGGGCTCGTTCGCCTCAGCCGCGGGCTCGGGTCCGCGCCCCTCGGCCGGGCCGGCGCCGCGGGGCCGCTCCGCCGCCGGCCGCCTGCCACAAACAGGCGCGGGGCCGGGGCCGGGGCCGGGGGCGCGCTCCCTCCTCCGCCTCCTCCTCCTCCGCCTCCCCTCGCCGCCCGCCCTCAGCGCCGCGCTGCGGCCCCGACCACTCCGCCCCCGCAGCCCACTGCCATGGCGACCGACACCACGCGCCGTCTCCCTCCGCCAGGCAGCGCGGGGCGGGGGGCGAGCGGCCGCCGCCGCAAAGAGTCCGCGCCCGGGGCTCCCCCCCACGGGGCCCTCAGCGCCCGGCCCGCCCCGGGAGCGGCCCCCTCGGCCCCGAGCCCGGCCCGCGGCTGCCTCAGGCGCCCCCGGCCCCGCTGTGCAGCCCGCCCTCCATCTTCCCCGCACAGCCCCTGCTGAGGTGCCGCAGGCCCGCGCCCCTCAGCCGCAGCCCCCCGAGCCGCCCCTCAGAGCCCCCCCGGCCCCTGTCACGGCCCCCCTGTGCCTCCCCCCTTTCCCGTCAGCGTTTAGCGGCGCAGCCCGGCATCGGGCTGTGGTAATCCCACGGTGAACGTATTTTCCTTCGCCTTATCTCCAGGCAGAGCTTTCACAAACTTCGGCCTTTCTTTGCTGGGCCGCTTGCTTTCAATAGAGCGAGTTAATCATCGCTCAGCCAGCACCGGGGAGTAAATTTGAACAGCGCACTTGTGAAAAATAAGATTAGGAGGCAAGGGCAATAAGTCAGGAGTGCCATCTTAGCACATTCCCAGATACTGCAGAGGAACAAATAACTTCTGGTACAAGTGAAGTTAATTAACAAAGCAAAAAACAATCAATTTGTCATCCAGCACATTTGTTCACAGTGTTGGAATAACTCACAGGACCTTTATGTAAGAACCTATAGCTGCCTAACATCGCCTCAGCAGCAGGGTAGGGATGCACATAGGACATCAGGTACAGATGTGTAAGGTGTGCTCCTTAGGATCTGCAGGACAAACCACATCACAGCTAGACGAAAGGAGATCTTCATCCACATTTCAAAGTAATGCTACCAGGGTCCAAAAAAAGGCAGTCTTGCAGAATGTGCAAAAATTATCCTTATAGAGCAGTTACTCATAAGCAGTTTAAAAAAGCAGTTACAAGGACAACTAAATAAATATTAATCATATCAGAACTCTTTATAGTTTTATTAGATTCCCTCCTGTTTAGCCAAAGAGTAATTTGAGATTACTACAGAATTATACACTTAAGTAGATTACATTAGTGTGTAACAAACCATAAAATATGCCCCAAAAGCTGTGTTACATGATATAATAGACAAAGATTGGAATTTATCAGATACAACTATATTATTAAATGTCTTCTATTCATTCCAAGAATTCATCTCAAAGTGATGACACCAGCATTACACCCTAGTACAGTTCAGAATTCACCACAGGCTATTGCTCACCACTCTATCATTTCAGTGGGATTTCCAGGCGATAAGAACTGTTAGACCAAGTTAGGTGGATGGTTAGGTGTGAATTCCCATCACCAGCTCCCAGGTGCCGAGCGAGATGGGCAGGACCCTCGCTCAGCTCCCCAGCACACCACCGAGCACGGTGCTGCCTCTGACCAGCCTGTCACACAGCCCAGGAGAAAAAGGCTCAACAGAAGGCATCACGGCACAGGGCCAGGGCAGCCTCCATCTCCGGCCACCCCACATCTCAAGCCCTTCTTTTTCCAAAAAGTCATCAGCTTTCAACAACTTTTGTTACCTGCACATGCTTCGGGAATGCCGAAGTGACCATGTTCAGGTGGATCGGTGCACACGAGACCCATGGGACCCGTTCTCCACCTTCAGTAACATTTTCTCAGCTCCTGTTCACTTACCCATTTCTTCTCAGCTTCTTCCTCCTCTCCTCACATCTCTGCCAGGTGCTGGAAACCACAGGAGCACAAGATGTTCAGGATGCAGATCAATCGACTCTCAGTCTCCAGCTGCAACCAAACATAAACCAGCAATGCTGTGCTGTGGCCTAAACCCCACAGATGCACAGAGACTAGCTTTTGGACAGCCAGTGCTCTGTCACGCTGCAGTGGGATTTCTCCCTTCCTCAGAAGCTTTGCAGGCATCAAACCAATACATCAATCCCCTTTCAAAGCAACACCTCCTCTATTTCCTTGCGAAGTATTATGCAATACTTGAACTGAAGATCCAAAACACCATAATCTGCAGGATTGAAAGGATTAAGGGCAGTTTGAATTGATGCATCCTCTGAAGAAAATAGCATAAGGAAGCCTCCTCTCAAATTACTCTAAAAAGGCCAGAGAAATCATCATCCTTTTAGCTTAGCAGCAGCACTGAGAGCCAGGCACTTGCAGGCAATACCAAAACACAGCTGACATTTTCAGGTTTGGAGAATAGCAGGCAAAATCAAAGCAAAATGTCTAAACCCATAAATTAGAAGGAATCCTGACAAGCTCTCCCACTACCACACCTTACTGCTTCTGCGGCTTCTCACTACAAAACAGAAACTAGTTGGTAAACTCTCCTACTTCCCCAGATCTCCACAGCGCTGGGGACCTTGGGCCACACACCAGGTCCATGAGCCCAAGAGGCCCAGCTGTGCCCCTCTAAGCACACCCCAGATCACATTGACTCAGGCTCTTGCCATTTCTGTGCAATCCCCACCCCACCTCAGGCCACCCTCAACTCCCCCTCAGCTCACCTCCCACCCTAGCCCTTTGTAATTGAGGTGTCCGAGGCTGGACCCCAGGGTAGGGGGTTTTTCTCAGGGAACCTACCACAGGGAAACTCTCCTGTTGTACTTGCACACAGTCCTGGTGCAGCTTTAATGCAGCAACTGATTGCTTTAGGTACCAAGATTTACAGGCAAAGCAAAAAATAATAATAATAAAAAAAAATGTTCAGCCATCACAACAAAAGAAAAATCACGCTGATGCTAGGGATGACTTGCTGGGTCAATCCTTTCTCACTCAAGTCACATCTGCCCAGCATTAACCACCTGAGCCAGTCAGCTTCGCCCTGACACAAAGGGACAGGAATAGGAAGGTGGGGGAAACAAGACTGTTTTCTATCCCTTCAAGCAACAAGAACAGCTATTTCCATGATTTCAAAATCACAGCATCTTCCATCTTTTGCTGTATTTGGAAAGATATTGATGGTGCTGTTTCTATCTTCAGCAAATGGCTTCCATAGCTATTTACCCTACTTCAGCTGGACGTTTAATCACCTGAAAAGGCTATCATGTATGTAATGTTATTAACAGTATCCTTTAAGTGGCACAGATTGCTAAATTACTTATTTATACCAAAATATTTTCAGTCCCACTTCCCTGAAACTATACACATAGGTCAGTTGCAAAATTAAGATCTTTATGAGGAGCTATTTCTAACTTTGAAGTTGAAGCATAGCACAGCCTGCGTTGGCAGTAATTGCACCTTCTGCATGCAGATAAATACTACATTTAAAAATGGTTATTTCCACTTTGCAGTGAGGAAAGTTCAGTGAGGAAGGGAAAATGACTTGTCACAGTCACAACTCCTAAGCAGAACAAATGTTAGCTATACCTGAATTCAGCTATACCTGAAATTCTACACTCTCTACTTTTAGATCTATTTTACCTTTCCTTGGAAGATAGTAAATGTCAGGTTCCTCTGAATCTGTAATTTATCAGAAACTTACGAGGTCACATTTAATGTTTCCAAAGGTTCACCACCAGGAAACCAGGAAATTAAGAATCTATACTTAGTAGCAACTTGTATTATCTGGTTTTAAAAAGTTTCCTAGCTTAAGTAAAACCATAGTCAAGATAAAAAAAAAAAAAAAAAAAAAAAAGTATTCCTCAAACGCCAGTCATTTCCCCTACAGAACTAAACCTAACTTCTGGCTTATACCTATATTACTTTTACGTTATGCATAGTGTCCTAGGGCTTTTCTGAATGCATCCTACCGAAAATGCCTTCCTTGAACACATAACAGAGTGGTGAGACAATCCTTGAGCACTTAATGGGACAAAGGCTCAGTACAAAAAACATTACTTAAATGCACCGATTTAATGCATGTACAGAGAATAATGCAGAAAGTGCAGAGGTGCATTCCCGTAAGACATGAGTCCCAGGGGATGACATCCCCAACACTGCCACTTAACACTCCGTGCGGTGATTCACTATGACTTACCTGGCTGACTGTCCACAGCTGCATTCAGGGCTGCTGGTTGACCACTCCTAATCTTTTCCTGTCTCTTGACCTTCTTACTCATAAAATTGATGCAAATTTACTGCAGTATTTACACGACAGGTAACTACAGCACACACACACACGCCATGCCTGGGTATTACCTGCAGGACTTCCTCAACATCACCCTAGCTGTTGCCACAACACACAAAGAAAGAAGATGTCAGCTTATTGCTTTTGCAAATCACTCCAACCACAAGCGTACTACAAAACACTGCAATTCACATGGTGCCCCTTTGTCAACACTGACAATAAGAAGGTTTACAGTGAATTTGTAGTCTAGATTAATACTCAATACGCTGTGACTCCAGAATTACTTTTTATTCAAGTTAAGGAAGTATCTCCAAAAGAGGTCTGAATAAATTAATATTACCTTTTATACAACCCCTTCCTCAAAAATTTGAGGACATCTTAAAACATTAACCCATCCATAGCAACCCCTTTCTTCTTGTCTTCCTCAAACATGTTCTATTGTTTTACAGTTGAGCCAACAAAACAGATCTCAAGCGTATCCCCCATCTATTTTAAATACACAATTGACCCAGCCCAACAAAGCCACAGGAGCAGTTTCTGTTGTTTCCTTGGACTTTTGCCCTAAAGCTGCAGAGCTCTACTCACACTTTACCCACTGCCATGGGGGCCGGCATCCTCCCTCCAGCTAGGGAATAGCAGTATCTTTAACACTTTCTGCAGTAATTATTTAATTGCAACCCGAGGGTACAGCATCATTAGACCAACATAACAGTTTGGTAAGAAACAGTCTTTTGCTCCCCATGAGTTTACAACCAATAGAGACAAAAAACAGGGCGGGAAGAAGAGAGATAACAAAGTTGTCAGTCTGCACTTTTCCCTGAATACCTACAGGCTTAATTCCTAAGGTGAAACTTCCTGCTTTGGTCCTGCTTTGTCCCGAATGTGAGGCTGGATCATCCAACCTTTGGAATTTTGAATGACCTTTTGAATTTGCTTGGAGGGAAATTTTCAGGGGTTGGAAATATTCTCATTTGCTTCACGACAGAGATCAAGGTACTACTGTTTCCTAGCTGGCTTAATGTATGTCAGTGGAGATGGAAGCGTTCAGAGCAAAAACAGGCTGCAGCAGTATAAAATTTGTGTGACTACTCTGGGCCATCCCAGTAATGTTAAGTTTCCAGGCAAGTTTCTTTCCTACCTTTTAGCAAGCTTCTGCTGCCAGCTTGAGGCTTTGGTAGTTCTTAGACACAGACTGAGCTTTAGGCACAGTGTAGAAGGCATTCAGATCTGTCAGCCCCTAACAGGGCTCTCCTGCAATGTTCTCCTGGGACAATGCATGTTATAATACCCAGAAGGAAGCATAAGAACTGAGAACAAATTATTTTTAGCTGAGGGGATCTACCCACAGAAGTCCAGAAGAGTTCCAGTGTATTCAGAGCCTGAGTAGCTTCAGCAATACCAATGCACTAACATTCCTCCTGATAAGGCCTTCCTTTCACCCAACTACCCCCAGGACCAATGCTAATTTCTTCTGTTGATTGCTCACACACCAAACCTGAAACCAATCACGCTTAAAATGAATAAATTGATTTCTCAGAAACCTTTAACTTAAAGAGAGCTTTTTGCCTATACAAACCTGAGCTATTTAAGAACTACTAAGTGTTTCACTACTACTAACAGTGGGTTAGGTAGTAGTATACCTAGCTATGTAGAAATACTATTTTTTCTCACAATCTCCTAAAGCACCAACTTGTTGTTATCTAGAATGTATTTTTTTTATTATTTTTACATAATACTGAATTGTTTTTTATTGTTATCTCCATATTTTTACAGTGAGTAGACTTCTAACATTAGCAGATGGACAATTGTAAAAGATATACATGTATGAAGACAAGTATTATTTCTAAATGGTAAGCTGTCATACTGGTTTTAAGATATATCAGTCACTCAAATATTATTGGAGAACTTCTATGATGAGTGAAAGATGTTTAAGTACATCATTTTATCAGTAGATACTATAGCTACCACTATAATAACTGTGCATCTGCTTTTTGAATTAATTAGGAGGTGGATCAGATTTCTTATCCTTGCTAGAGATCACTGCTATATGGTGTTAGACCCTAACTAATAAAGGCAACGTAGGAAAATAAGCAACTAGAACCTTCTGTTTCAACTGCTTGAATTTGTGAGGTCTCAAGAGCACTCTCAACAACTCTAACTTAAGGGGACAAAGCTTTATAATCTGATTAGCAGTCTGTGTAAATCTCTGAATATTTATCTTAAAACTTCTCACACACACTAAAAAAAAAAAGTCAGTAGTAAGGTTTGTACTGTTGTTCTCATACAAATAACTTCCTGTCCACTGATTTTTCTTCTGGTTCATACATATATTTCTGGGAGGTTGACACTTGGAAGAAGGCCCTTTTGCTCACAGCTGCTTTAGGTTGAAATAGTTTGGCTGTTGTTATCACCCTGGTAAAACTAAAGCAGGTAATAGTTATAGCAAGGAAATGGCTTTGCATACTACTACACAACAAAGAGCTAATGAGAAGTTTGTGGGGCTGTCAAAGGTCTAAATCTGAGATGAAAAATAGCTGAGTTTAGCTATCAGTTATTATGTACTAACTAGGGAAAATTACTTGAACTTACTACTTATGGCTATCCCCTCTGGTAGGGGGGAGAGAGGGAACAAAAGTAGCTGGGTCTTTCTGAAATCAAGGTAGAAAGAGAAGTTCATAGAAAACCATTTAAAAAAAAAAAGTTCCTTTAACACCTTTTTTTTTTTAGGCTCTATACTATCACTCCTCTTCAATTTCTTTGTTCTGTTTATTTTTAGCATCATTCTCTTACTACTTTGTTATACAAATCTATTTGCATTTTCTTGATGTAACTGTAGCACTGTTGATATATCGTAATCTATGTGTCATGACAAGAGGATTGGTTGATATCAGGTTTGTCCAAACCAGTAACTATCACATGTGGTAACTACCCTTTTAACAAACCTTTCTGACTGCTTTTTTTATTAATGAGATGATGTTTCTTCTTTCTTCCTGCCAGCAAACTGGCTCTAAATTGCATTCAAATTGATACAAGGGTTTCTTTCTTATATTCCAACTACCTGTCTTGTTCAATTTCTGTGTCAGAAAAGGCAACAAATTACGGCTATGTTCTAGAGTTGAGTAATAGCCATTATTTAACAACATTTACCTCTTTGACAAGGATATTCTTAATATTTCATAGTGTACAGGATGCAAATTGATGTTACTGATTCCATGCTGATTAAGCAACAGGGTTTCCTTAATTTTTTTTCCTGGTACTGTTATCCAAATTAAAACCATCACAAATTTTCTACAGAGCCAGTAACTTCTTCAATTCATTTGCTGTTCTTATTAGGAGTGTTCCAGGGTCTGTCTGTCACATTTGTTCAGGCTATACTTAAAACTAGCCCTGGAAAGGGAATTGATTTAAGGCTGTCCTTACTGCAAGAACAGTAATGAAACATTACATCTTCTAATGACAGCCTGAAAAGGTGCAGACCTACATGAGCTGAGAGATGAGGAAGGACTTGCCTGTTGTCTTGGACTAAAGAGCAGAAGATTGTGTTTGTTTGTTGCAGTGTCATTTAATTGAATAAAGAGATTGCCTCGGGGTTACAGACCAGATGATACTGGAAAGGACCTCTGGAGACTGTCTAGTCTGCCCCCCCCTGCTCAGAGCAGGATCACCCACAACAGAGGTTGCTCAGAAACTTGTCCTATCAGGCTTTGAATGTCTCCGAGACTGGAGACTTCACAGCCTCTCTGGGCAACCTGTTCCAGTGTTGAACTGCTCACACAGTGGGACTTGTGTATTATGTTGAGATGGGGTTTCCTGTATTTCAGTTTCAGCAACTGCTGTTATTTATATAAATATCTTCAAGTCCACGTTATACAGTCATTGACGCTGTGGTGTTGGAGACATCCACTTCTCTGTCCACATCATCACCCTGAGTTATATTCCATGGCTTTCCAGCCCAGAAATGCTAACTGCTTGCTACACTTACCCTCGCTGCCACTCTGCTAGTCCCTTATGCTTCCTTAGTCCTAGTGACTCTCTAGACTAGAATCAGTCTGTTTTCATGGTCTGGTTGGTCAAACTTCAGCCAGCAAATATCTCTTCAGCAAACTAGCTCTGTGGGTGTAGGAATAAAACAAGCAGTTATTTCTCTCCCCCAGGTAAGCCCTAACTGTAAAGGTCAACAATTTATAAAAGCATCTGATATGTTGCTGAGGCATCAACTGACAGTAAACATGACTGAATTGGGAAAAACCTTGTTGGATAGAAGGATTAGTGGAGAAAGGCTGTACTCAGACCTCAGCAGTTGCAGGTATCTGCCTTGCTGTTTTATTTAGTAGGGGGATCACATTCTCTGTATGTCTTTTTCCTGTTGTGTGTGACTTCTGGACCTGAAATTTCTACTCAATTTCAGAAATGGGTCTTCTCAAATTTCTATCTATACAAGCACTTATCTGGTTCTGTCCTGTGATATCTTACAGAATGCCAAGCAGGAATCCAAAGGAATCTGCTTTAGAATGTGTAGATTCTAATAGCCAAAATTTTCTCAATACAATGTCTGCTGAGGAAACTTTAGCAAGGTGTGTGCAGGTGGCTGTGTGCAGGGCACAACCACGTGCAGGAGACCTCCCTCCCTTCAGTCTTCAGCGAGTGAACTGAAGGTGGGTTTGCTGCCAGTATCAAGCCCTAAGTCTCAGAACCCGACTCCAGCCTGGGGTCTGGAGTACTGTAGTACTGATTCACCTTGACAACTTCTATATTTAGAATCTGATCATGCTTCAGCAGTAATAGGCCAAAACCAAGTAAGCCCTACTATTAAAAATAGCTGAAGGGAGGGAGGGAGAAAAAGGAAGAATAGCAAGTGGAAAAATCAATCTTGTGTCCTGGTTTGTCTCTTTTTTTTTCCTTCCTTCTTCCTCTTAATCACAATACAATTTCCACAAAACTTTGCTCTGGTATTATTGAGCTGTAGCAGTAACTAATGGGAACATTCTTCCATATGCCCACATCTAAAGAGGGCTCCAAATTATGAAACACTGAGTTGTGATCTGAACTGTAATGAGAGAACACTTCCCTGGCACAAGCTGGCCTGTATAGAAACGCTCTATAAGTAACTTGGACTTCAGGAAATGCTTAGAAGTCAGTTCTGCTGGCATTGTAATTCCAGTGAAGCTACTTACCTGAACCAGAACTTACATGACTGAACTGAGCCTGGCTTGAGATGATTCAGAAAGGTAAAGGTCTGAGGAAGGTGGTGAGCCAGCTGGTGTGGCTGCACTGGTGTCCTGGATTGGGGAGTGATGTCCTGGACTGGGGAGTGATATCCCTTTGTAGGATGAGGCCTCAAACAGCTCTTAGTAAATCTGTAATTTGAGACTCCCAAACACCCTAATGCAATGCAAATCCACTGCCTTTTTTTCTTCTGAAACTACTGACAACAGAAGGACAAAATAAAAGTTCAAGGAAATGGTTATAACAAAGCACCTTGTGTAGGCCTCAAAGCCTCATGCCATTTCCAATTTTCTCATGTTTTATTCTGCTTTGAACCCTGTGCATAAGTTATATCCCAGCAATTCAACACTGTTTCATGTTGTTTACATTAACTTCATTATAAAAAATGAGGCTGAAAGCACATGCTGGTAATTCCTAGTCCAACTGAAAACTGAAGTTGTTAATATAAGAGATTTTTAGTGTTGTTTACAGTTGTAGTGCAACTCATCTGCAGGGAAATAAAGTAAAATATTAGCATCTTTTTCATTTTTTTTTAAAAAGAGACAGAACTTGTTCAGTGACAAGGCTCATGGAGCTTGGTACTTGATTTTTATCTGAGAACCAAGTGGGTCAACCACTTAATCAAATTCAATGGCCACTCAGAGCCATAGAGGTGATTTCATGTTTCTTCATTCAGCTCATCAACACACTTGATTGTTGGACATCAATCGTTTGTGCAGCTAGTGCTCCTAAATACTTCAGAAATCAGCTGATGTGATTCCTGATTTTTGGGTTGCACTCTGAGATGTGTAATTGTTTTCCTGTGTGCTATTTCTGTTTTCATGTATCTTGGTGAATTGTTCTACAAAACTGGGAGTGAGGATTGAAGTAAAAGAAAAAAAAAAAAAAAGAATTGTATCCAGACAGCAATATGGTAAAAATGAAACCATAAGAAACCAGCTTCTGATTCCCATTTTGGACTTATGGGACTGTGACTTTTGGTGTCAGTTTTCAATAATTGGCAGTACTTTTAAGTAACTTCTGGGAGAAAATAGGTATACAAAAAAGGGTGAACCTCTGTGGTAAGAAGTTGTGTGTTGTCTAGACAGAGCTTCCTTGACATAATCTAGGTAATTGTTCCCTAGCCTCTTGCAGGCTACCAGCATTGAGCAGCTAAAGCAGCAGAGTATTTATGCCTGTTAAACCAGAATTTCTGCCTATTGTTTTTCCTGCCTTCATCACTTTCCACTGCTATAGTCCAGCTATGTTATACCAGGACATTAAACACTCAGCATCCAGAATGTCTAGACAGGCTGAAAGACTGTCTGTGCTCCATTTTTCACAGAGGAACTACAGTCAACTTTCCTAAGAACTAAAAGGCTATTTGGAAAGAGAAGGTGGCAAAGTTCCTAGCGCAAGACACATATTCTAGCTGCCTTCTGAAGCAAGTAATACAGTCTGGTATGGATTTCCAGCAATGCATAAAATTCCTGCGTGAGCCTCCCTCTGTTCCCCAGGCAGGCTTCGAACCTTGGACAATTACTGCTAATGTCTTAAACAGCTTGCAGTTGTATTCTAAGTACACAAGATTGTACGAAAACTTGCCATGTTAGCTGGTAATGTAATATTAAAATAACAGAGAAAAGAACTAAAAGGTGGCTTCCATGCTGCTGAGGATGGTAAAGCAGAAATAAATTATTTCCATATCAAGTATGGGACCTGTGAAAGAAAGATATATTTTGGTGTTCACAATATGCAATGCTGCACAAGAAAACAAACAAAGTTTCTTTCCATATGGCCTCTGGTTTCTTTGGTGCTAGCCTCAGTCACTCTCCATATAAGAAGTAAATACTTGTTCCCTGTGAGGTAGAAGTGAATGTTGACCCTCCAATTTTCGTAAACAGAAATTTGGACACAGTATAAGGGCTGATGATCCTGTTGCTGTTAACCTACCTGCACTCTGTGTATGATTGTGGTATATATGCAAAAACAAACAAACAAAAAACAAACAAACAAAAATGCTTTGATTGAGACTGTCATGGAGGTGAGCCCTGTAAGGAAAGAGATGACCAATGAAGCCTTGAGATGAACAGGCAAAGTACTGAGAAGCAGTACACAAGAAAGATGCCTGGATCATAAAGGACAAAAAAAAAGAGCACCCAAAATGTCAAAGTGATAGAGTTGATAACATATTGTTACATCTATTAATGAGGGGAAAGGGTAGGTGGTAGAACTGTCATTCAAAGTCATACAGAGTTGAGAGAAATCAAGTCACTGTGTCAGTATAGGGAAGTGCAGTGGGGGGGAGGGAAGTAGATAGAGCTAGAAACCTACTATAAAGCATTTAGGGACTAGGAAAAAAACAAACACACAAAACTGTTTAAAGATGCTTGCAGTTTACCTCATCGGAAAATTGAAAGGTGACTTAAGCATGCATAAATCATTGTGGAGAGATAATGGGTGCAAAAGCGCTCTTTAATCTATCACTTAGGGCATAGCAAGAACCCATAACTAGAAAAGACAAGCAAATTCCAAGTTTAAAAGCATGCTCCCAGTTTCCTCTAAGGGAAAAACAATTTACTGATAAAACACTGTGTTCTGATGCCTCAAATCAATATCCTTTGTCTGCAATAACTCTTCAGGAAAACAAAGGTGATCTGACTCAAAACATAAATAAAGGATTTCTGCGTCTTTGAAGTCAGATGAAATGATTTGATACTCACTTCCAGTTTTAAGATTTGTAGAAAGAGATCTTTACCCAATTTAGGATAGAATACAGAGAGCAAAATCCTTGAAACAAAAGGAACTTAAGAAATGAGGAGACAGAAAGCACTGCTCCATCAAAAATCAGGATACTGCGTAATGAAATGGCTTCCTTAAATGCATTTGGTGGTCAGTAGTTTTGATTAGACCTCATTAGGAAAAACAGGGTAGACATATGTCAGCTGGTTGAAGAGTAACTTTCAGTTGTACATAGGCTCGCAGAGGTGTTCCATGTGAGTAACTCTCCTAGCTAGTTTTAAAGTTGCTGCAAAAGGAAAATAACAATCTTTGTTCTATATTTGTGGGAGACAGGATAAAAAGTTCTGAATATTCCTTGAGTCAGTTTAACTTTCATACTAAACATTCCCAGCAGGGTAATGACTAGTAAATACAGCCCTAGGCATGTAATCTGTTGCTTCTACAGATATCTACCCAAATGACATGGAATGATCCTGGTTGTGTTATTCATCAGATATCCTTTCTGGTTCTGGGACACTTCCCCCCTGCCTCTTTCGGGCTGATGGCTGTGGGTTGGTGCACCGTTTAGCTGGAGGCTATGACTTTCTGCAAATGGATATTGTGCTGAACAAGGTTCTAAATGTTGCCAAAGAATGTATATCTCATCTTCATTTAAAGTAAAATCTATCAGCTAGTTCAAAAGGCAAACATTGTTCCTTGATAAAATGCAGCTGGTGTGCATATGAGCTTAGTCAGCAGACTATAAAATAGCATAAGATTTCCATAGCGATCAGAAACATCAAAAGCAGAAAGTGTATTTAAAAAAAAAATCTCCAACATATTGCTATAATTATTAAATTTGATGCATCACAAGTAGCAGTGGAATATAGATGCTGAGATGATATTACCCAGACAGGAAGGAATAATGTGGCTTTGGTCTATGTCTCAGTACGCAGATTTCAAAACACAAAGAGAAGGCGGATCATCAGATACCAGAGTATGTGTATCCCATTTTTTAAAATGGGTTTGCCCTCATGAGAGGCATATATTTACTATAACATTGAGCTGCAGCTTCTGAACAAGTTACCATCTTTAATGTCACTCTATATGGAGAGAGAGGGAAAATAATTTATGCTAATCTGTTTTGTGGACTACCCTATTGAGATGTACTTGTATATAACCCTGGTGTGTGGTTACACTTTACCTAATAAGTAATGTCTGCAGGTCTATGTGCAATGCATGTCAAAATCCTTTCTTTCTATAGCTTATCAATACTGAAGTAGCGAGTGATAGGCATAGCAGCCTCTTGCTTTGTGAGGGTCTCTCAGGTGCTCCTGGCAATCTGGAAATGAGCTCCTCCCTGTTGCCTCTGCTCGCCCTTGCAGGGCTGCATCTCACATGTTTTAAACTCCAAATGGAAGCAATAAGGTAGGATGGACATATGACTGCTGCCAGAAATACAAGTCTCAAATGGAACTGTTCTGAACTTTCCCCTTCCTTTTTAGATCACATTTCCCTCAAGAAAAAAAATCTAAGGGGTGCTCTTATGTTTCCGCTGGGAAACAAGTTACTGGATGTATTTAACCCATTGCAACCATCATAGCAACTGGTCTTTGAAAACTGATACAATTAATCAACAGTTGTATGATATGCCTTTTAACAGCAAAGTAAATTAGTTGTGTTAAAAAAAAATACACAGAGGACATCTAATATTTGTTATTTTATACTCAGATCAGATTCTACCTGAATTGCCTGATTATATTCTATTGTGCTGCACTCAAAACTGTCTCATGTTGGAATGATGGAAGTGATATAGCTTTTTATTGACAGAAGGGCTGTTTTGGTGGATGTAGAGTGATAGATATATCTCTCCGTATTCTTGTGGGGTGGAAGGAGGAGTGGAGAATCTCTGAGTCTGTTCTTGCATTTACTAACTTCCCTCTGCTTGAAAAAAATTCCCAGTAGTATGGAGTTAGGTCATCCCATAACTTCAGTTTGATGTTTTTTTTTAACTCCAACTTCTGTATTGCTTAAAATTCGGTACTAATTAAAATTGTCAGCATCCCAAAATTCAGAAAAGTGAGGAAAAAAACAAAAAACAGACCACAAATTTACCAATATCCTGTACCTGATGTTGTTTGAACTTTCAGATTTTGCATTTGCAGGTGGATCTGCAAATATCCTGGGAAGAACTTTACTCATGAATACTGAGGTAAGAGTTTTAAAAGGAATGTCAGATAGTGAAAGATAAAACTGAGACAACAACAGTGGTTAAACCT